ATAACCTTAATATTTAAAACTAGAATCATACTAAAATTATAAAGTGAGAAATTATTTGTTCCTGTATAATTGATTTAACATAATTCTAATGATACGATATAAGTATTTTGAGGTTAAGAACCTACAATGCAATACAACAAAGTTGCAATAATTTGTTTGCAACGTTTTCTTAAATCGGCTTTGCACGTGCAAGTCATTGATATGATATTGCCTAAATCACCCAGAATCACCTCACCAATTATATAACGTTGTAAAAAGTAGGCAGTAAACTTGACGGAATTTGAAGGCTAGCTTCCGGATTTGTTATTTCCGAATTTTATAATGTGATTGGCATTAAAAACACGCTCACCTTCAACGAAATTTCCTTTCCGAGGCTTTGTGTCAGCCCAATCACATATTGTATCAATACTTATCATTTTATCGTAATTTAAAAACTTGGAAATTGCACGGTATACTATAGGAACTACGATAAATTTTCCCTAATCGGCGCCATGTTTATAGGCTCCTCCCATTTGACGGATCCCAGTATACAAAAGAACTACAACACTGATGCAGCTAGTTGCCAGCTGATTGAATACGGCGTTGCATTGTCGCATTTCTCTCTAGGGTCGGAATTAGATCTGCCTGTATTTTCAACTACGTTTTTATCGACAACGGCGAACTTTCGGGCATACAAATATTTACTTAATTAATTTTCTTATTTTATAGTCCCTATTACTTCCCGCAAGGTTTCTACTTATTTCAGAAACATCCTGTACATGTTGCATGACAGTCATCATATATTAGAAGTAATTCTTATAATTAATTGAAAATGTTGCATTTATTATTAAACAAATATCGTAATTTTGTAATAACGCATTCCTGTTTGCGGTGAGAGTGATCGTTAATAATTTATTTTGTGTGTTTAACCTAGCAAAGTAAACAAATATCGTAAATTAGATACTACACGTGGCTTTAATTGAATTCTCGTCAATATGTATCTCTTGTAGTCATTGCGTTGTAGCAGAGTCATCGTAAACCTTTTGATGGTTGGTTCGTTCATTAAAACTTGTTTAACTCTTAAACAGTGAGAATCGGATAAAGTAGTTTCATCCGCTTTTTAAGCTGACGTAAACAAAACGAAATTAATTTTCACGCCGCGCATTTTAACATCAGCTACATCAACATTACAAGCCTCTGTCATAGTTGTATTTATTGTTAAGAAATTTTACTGTAGATATGTATAAATTTCTGAACAATATCAAAGAATAGAGTTAATGGTGTAACAGTTTTTTAATAGGGTTTAAAGCTTTAAAGAAAAATAAGTCATTTAAAAGTATGCTTTTTCTTTAAAGAAATTGCGTTTAATATTTGGTCACTGGAAATTGCTTGTATTCTTCTCGGAAGAAAAAAAAAATAAAAAATTATTCTCACATTGGTCTGTACTTTCCATGATCTTATAGGTTACTGATTGGCAAAAGAAATAAAAAATAAAAATTCTTTACAGAAGTGTCATATAAAAAAAAATGTTACACGTTTTAGCATACAACATAAAGTAAATTTCGTGGTTTTTAGCTTTAGGGAGGTTGGCCAATTAGTAAGTTGTCAAATCGTGGAAAAATTTAAGGTATATTTTTTTTATAATCTTCAAAATTCGAATTTTTGTGATAAGAAAACCGAAGTAGGTTTTCTCGAAAATGACGCATTTCCGACCCACAGGTGATAGAGGAAATTAGTATATATACCATGTATTTAATATAAAATATAAGGGAGCAAATTTGTTTATGCTAATATTACGATCAGACGTTCGATAATCGACAATGTTTACATACTTCAACGATGCAGCTTCAGAGTTTCTATCGCTCGCACTGCGCTATTCGATAGACCAATTCACGCACAGGACTGGCTTCGGTTGTAAATTATTGCGATTTTCTTAATTATTAAATAATTCTTAATTTTCTTTGTCCTTAATTACACTGCTGAGCTCACCGTGCAATTTTTTTATTACATTTAATTTGCTCCATCCAAAGCTCGATTATTATTTCTGTTACACCCTAAGTAGTATTTGACCATTATGTGTAATCGCTGTGTAATCAGTTTGTGACATATAGATTGAAAGTTTATAGGTTTAGACCGTTGGTTGGCAGATCGGTCCTTTAATTTTTATTTATCGTTGGCAGACCGCCATCTTTTAGTCTTTTATTTGTCTAAACTTCAATTAGGTATCGAACTAGGATCGATATTTTTTCATCAATCCATAAAAGATGATATAGAAGAGAAAATATTTCACTCGCTTGAATTGAAAGTAAGTATTTATTGATCGAAAAATTACATACATGCACGTTTTTCGAATTTTATGACTTTCTGTCTTGATTTGCTGCAGGTGCTTCTTTTAATGAACAGGACAATATTAATATGAAAGATTCCTTTTTAAACAATCACCTTATCACTGTGATTAAAATTGGTTTCATTGTAAAGGTGTTTGTTTAGCTTGGTTTGTTTTCTGTCTACCTCTCCATCTGTTACAAGTGTTACAAATCATTTTTGAGCCAATTCCTGTTATCTGAACATAACCTGAATTTTGGGTCATATGCAGTGTTGAAGACAGTGGAATAATTTTCACTTTTTATTTTTTTAAATTAACAATTGACATTTCTTTTTATTATCGTACAAATTGTTGTACAGCGTGTTTATTAAGCATACGACAAAACTTCCAAGGATTTGAAGCTGAAGTTAGTTCATAATCGTGACATAGATGCAAAACATATATGTATTAATGAGAACATAGTAGCAGCATACATAACGTGCTCATTTATTGTTTTACTCAAAACGGGACATCGGTTTATTTACGTTAATTAGCAAGTTATTAATGAAAAACAAAAAACACATTTTTTAATATTATTTGTATAGAAAAAATTAGATTTTATTATAAATTGAAGAGTTCATTCTAATTAATAAGAACACGTATTATATATAAACATATATGTATTTTGTGCAATCTTTCAACTTCATAACTTTGACTGTTAAATTTTTAAACAAGTACCTATGTTGCTTTTATGGAAGTAATAATCTTAAAAGCCTAACAACTAACAATATGTATTTAGTAATAGCCGCATTCGTAATAGGTTAACCGTAATAAAATTCAACGTAATTAAAGTCTTTACTGCCAATTTAATTGTTACATTGAGTATAATGGTAAATAAATTGGCTAAAAAATGGTTATAAACATAATTTGGGTTACAATAAAGTGTCGATGGTGATGCATGCTTTCTTTGAAACATTCCTGTCTAATAATAAAATTGCAATAATAGTTCATTTAATAGGTCTTGATATCCAAGTTATTATTATTGTTATTCCTAAATTCACTAACAAAGGCTTGCTTTCTTTTTTTCTCTTATTCATTTGAAGTCCCATACCAATACTAGTCGTATTGTAGCGAGCACGAGCGTGTTTGTGTGCGATCGGGCATACGTGTGTGTGAGCGGCTTATCGTTTCGCCGACTAGCCGCTGGCGCCTTTCTTCATGTGCGTCGTATTTGTAAATGTGTGTGTCGTACCTGCGTTCTGGGAAAGCAGTTAAACAGTTCAAAGAAAAAGAAACTTTTCCGGACGGTTCGAGAAGGTTCCCGAAAGGAAACAAAAGAGTATTTAAAGGAAGAGACGATCGCCGAAAGGAGAAGAAATAAATTGACCGTTGCAGAAGTGAATCCAGAAATAAATTGACAGTTATAGCAGTGAAATAAATAGCGTAGTGAATGTGATATATCAACAATTAGTGTAAAGAAATAGTTTTAGTTATTAGCCTTAGAAATAAATTTTGTTAAACCCACGAACATTACGGTATGGTTGACGATCTCAGCCATAATAATATGCATTTAAATTTTTCAAAGTGCTCATGGATTTTGCACGATCTAGTTTGTAAGTAATACATATACTTAATACTCCTATATTTTATTTCTATAAGTCGAAACTGTTTCTACATAGTGAAACAGATAGTGTCTCGTTTTCTCTATCATCCGAGCTCCCGCTTCCTATGTGCGCATACACCTGCATACTGCTGTTATATCAAAGATTTCTCAAGCATGCCCAGTAGAGACAAGATGCCTCCGACTAGAGAGAGAGGAAGTAAACTCAGATAGATTGTGAATGCCATCTGTCTTTTTTAATTAATAATATCGTCTTGTCAAACTGTTCCTTCGATTCAGCTATCTCCATCTTAACAGCAAGAAGTTCTTAATCGATATTGTTGTTGTGTGTAAATTATTAGGCGTGAGTCATGATTTTAAGGACCATAGATAGATGGCATTTACTACGCTGTCTGGTTATTTATTGATATCTCTGTTATTTAGTAACAACTTTGATATTATGGCGTTTTGAATTTTGGATACTAACTAATCCGAAATTGTGATCTATATCTGACTCTTTCTTCATAGTGTTAACCAAGAACGTATGGTTTGTTTTGCTTTCGTTCTTCAAAATGGCGGACTCAGTACTCTGAGTGATTAATACACCAGATATCTGTAATTACTACTGGAATATTTTTTGTAAGTTGTCCTTGAATGACATACAAATTAAAGACATTGGTGATGAGGTGCTTTTGAGATTTGCTTTAATGTTAAATGATTCTGATCCCGATGTGATTTATATCATTTTTACTCCATTTCTCCTACTCGAGTTATCATTCCTCGTTTTTCAGAACTGCTGATAACCCGTAATTGAATTATAAATTTCTTGAACTATTACTACCGTAAAACTCATACATTTCACTCAACGGTTTTGAGCTCCTTCAGATAATGATTTCAAATCGAAGTTCAACACCATTGAGCGAAACGTTGGGAGTTTTACAGTAATGAATCACATTTGCCTGAATAGTTCAAGATATTCAATAAAGACCTGCATGTAATATCGAAAAGGAAGACAAGGACCATTTACAGTCCTTCCCCTTTTGATTTGTTTAAATATTGTTGGTTGCGTATTCAATAATTTGAAATACTAACATTTTATTTCTTTTTCGATTTCAGTACCGATAGCGGTTGGGATAACCCATTTCGACCTGGTGGAGACTTAAGCAGAGAAGCGGACGAAATAGTGCAGCTTATTAAAGGTGGAAAGCCGATTACACCTCCATCAGGAAATGCACCCTCTATAACTCAGAACAACTCGACCGTTTTAAACAATACCTCACATTACAACTCGTCAGAGCCAATTACCGAATCTCCAAAAAAAGCGACAGCTTTGAGCAGTACACCGAACGCCAAAAGTGTAAATGGCAACGTAAAAAACGACAAACATGCACCACCTGAATCTCTAGACGTCCAAAGGGGTACCACCGCTCCGGCGTCGGACGCATCACAAGTGGAACACGTCGTCATAAAGAAGAAACAAAAGTGCAAATGTTGTGTGATACAATAAATGAAAACCTATTTGATTATAGGCTTAAAATAGACTTATTAATGTTAACTGTTTTTTTAACGGCACGGGAGCTGCAGAAGCACTTTAAACTTCTTTTGCTATCTAATACTATTAGTTTATATACAATAAAATATCTATCACAGAAATTTATATGACCAAAATAAATAAGTACAGAACTTTAAGAGCCATAACAAACCTGTGATTCGAGCATAAATACGAAGTTTCATTCATGGTAGTTTGAATTACTATTTGACAGGTAAATGTATTGTGAATTTTCCTTTATTTATTGGCATATAGCATTCAACAATTGTAATTTTTAGTAATTATCTACATAAGTCGTAAATGGCTCTCAATTACAATAGGTAGATACAGTAATCACAATGTATATTCCATTTTAGAGTTTTCTACTGTCTTCGAAAATTCACAATTTTGTCTTTAAAAATATATCTACACGTAATTATGATTGGAACTCGTATTGCATTCTAGACATGAAAACGTTGTTACTTCAGTCGGCAAGTAATAATGGATAATAATTTTATCTTGGAAAAGCTTTAACTGTTTTCTGAAAAAACGAAATCAGAGTTTTATTACGTATTATATACAATAAAAGAGAAAACACTTCCTATGAAATTCTATTGTAAAAAGAAATAGNTTTATTAACTTTTTTTAATTTGTACGTTCTTTTTTAAATCTCGACCGTGTAAGGTTCGTTTAAAGGCAAACAATTGAGATTGTCCTAACAGACAAGTGGACCAGAACCCCGGTAAGTTCGTTGAGGAGATGGAGGGAACTTACGCAAGATAACATCAATTATTACACTATACAGTTCCTTACCGGCAATGGATGCTTTGCTAACTGCCTCTACCGGTTAAGATTGGTCAAAAGTAATGCATGCATACATTGCCAGAAAGCTCCGCACACCCCGGAATACCTACTCGCGCGCTCGATGTTGAAGGAAAAGAAAATGCAAGCGGAGAGAGAATTAGGAGATAAAATATCTCCCTCAAACTTTTAGAAACTGATTACTACAGACCACAGCAACATCATCGCAAAACTCCAGATCAGAATATAATGACAAAGTGGTGGAAGAAAGAGTGGCAGAATCACATGGTCTAGTTATTTCACTATTCGTCTAAACAGAATGCATTTCTTAAGACTTAGTTTCAATTTTACAGTTGACAATTTTTTGAAGTTCTTCATAGTATGATAATGTCGTCTAAATTTTTGAATGAGGAAATAAACATTTAATCCGTAAAAATAAACATATAAGGTGAATTATTTTAATATTCAGTATTTTCTATATTTATAATTTTTATTCAAGGTAAACAACGATAATTTTTAATTATAAGTATTATAAGAAAATTCGAATAAAAACATTCGAAAAGATAATGAATAATTTGAAAAGGCATTAGAATCACCAGTAGAAAATATTTGCACTCGATGTAGTTTTTAATTGACCAGAAAATGGAGTAATTAAACTCCTACTGGAATGTGCTTAATAATACAAATTCCAGAATTATTACTAAAATACGATACTGCCATGCTAATTAAGACTTGAATGTGCTTTTATTCTCAAAATTTTTTGTGATTAGAATATATACTAACAATGATCTGTTTTGATACAATAATGAAAATTATTTAAATTTTATGGTCCAGAATCATTTCTTAAAGGGTTAGGTAGCAGGAGAAGTTTAAAGAAAAGAGAGACTGTACAGTGCTTTTCAGCTACACATGAAATACTTAGTTTGTTGCTTTACATTTACAGTTTCATTAGTTTTTTTGTATCACAAACCGTACATAGAACCGAAGCAATAATTGTTTTAAGAAACTGCTTTGGTTGTGTTTAAGTATATTTGACTAATTATGAATATACATACATACATATATATTTTTATACTATCCCACAATAATTTGTTGATGTATTGGTGCACATTAGCTAAGTTGCTATATGACATGGAAGAACATTATTTGAATTAAAATGACCCAAGTAACTATAGTGTGTCACGAAATCAAAAACTGTAGCAAATGAGTAATATTAATTGGAAGATAAACTTAATTATTTTTGTTTTTCAAATATTAAAAAAGAAACTCTTTATTAGTTATCTTTCGTTTGCTTATTTATTTTTGATATATTTCGATTAAGAAAGGTGTGACACACCCTGTTTATTTGGACACAAAGCTTTAGAGCTATAAACAAGAAAATCTTTAAGGCTTATTTGGTAGCTATTTTTAGAGCTATTTTCACGTCAATTAGTTTATTAATTGAGAATCGATGAAAGATGGAAAAGGTTGCTCTTTTATTATTCAGAATTAAAAGTGATATAATTGGGTGTGGTACAGTGTTTCTGACATGTAAGACACCTGTAAATTTGTGTCTATTATTACGTTGATAATAGAGCAAGACATTGTAGTGTTTTAGTTCGCTCTAAGTCAGAATGTGATCTATTTTGTTATTTTTACTGTTTTCATTTATTACGTCTGCAATATTATAAGATAAAACGCATACAAAAAATTTGTTTGCTTTGCATATTTTGCTACCTAATCTATTATTGTTTACATTATTTAATAATTGTGTACGTCGAGTTGTTTAATATCAGAATGAAAAGACATTGAAAAGAGTTGCTAATGGTAATATAGATATTTCATTCATTTTTTTAATAAAAGTCAATGAAATTATCATAAAATAGTTCGTAACTTTTACAGTACTTTAATGTGATATCATAAGGCAGAGATATTTGTATTTAGATNGACTAACTGAAAATCATATGGATTTAGTTCTGGTGCCGCCATCTATGTGTCAGGCCGGGGACTTTTCAATTGACCCTAGTAGTTTAAATCTTTTTAATGAAAGCAGTACTGGGGTTAAAGTTATTTTATTTAAAAAACCACAGCCAACGTTTCGCCCAGGCCGTTAGTCTTTTTCAAGGCTACTTCTTTTTACATAAGAACTATAATACTGATGGATTCTGGCTAAGTAGTACATGCTCAAAGACCAGCAACCATTAACAAAAATTACTAATACTATTTCCAGCATAACGAGATTTAATCTTATTTTCTACATTAGGTTGTTAGATTCTCATAAATACGAACAGCACAATTAACAGAAAATCTACTTAAAGGACAGTTCCAATTCTAAGTAGAGAAGTACCTGAGGAACTTAACTTGAGGTAATTTATACTTGGTAACAATTGAATTAATTTTCACTGAGAATGTATGTATGAAGTATGAAGTAATTATGAACCACCGGTACAATGGATTGACATGAAAATAAAAAAAAAATTGTCATGTTTCTTTGACATTAATTAATTCTATTTTGAAACAAACCAGGATTTTCGTTTCAATTGCGCTTTGGATACTCCTAAATTATTCTGTTTTTCCATAAAATACCTTGATAAACAGTAAAAAGTTTCAATGTTTATATGTTCGTTTGTGTCTACTTATTTTACTAATTTAATTGATTAATCCAATCTGTGCTTACAAAGAAGGCACTAGAAAATTATAAGTCAGGGGTGGGGGGGTTAGTAAATGAAAAATAATGTGGATGTGGAACTATAATGTTCTGCAAGTTTTACCCGAAAACTATACATTTTTTCTACTTATATGTATAGACACCCATAGAAAAGTTCTATAGAATTACATTATTTCCAATTGAAATGGCATATTCAAAAGGCAAATAAGGCTTTTTCACAAAAATACGTCACGAAACCAAAACAATTTAAATAATGCAATTTTCTTTTTTTTTAATTATTGCTTGCAACTTTTTGTGTGTACATCTAGGCATAGATACGTTGCTTTTCCGTGTAACTGAGCTTTAAAAAAGAAAAACAGGCATTATTTAATTAAAGTGAATGTTGACTTCACATTCGTTAAAAAGGTTGTTGGTAAAACTCTACGACAAATAGAAACAGATACAGCGTTTTGAAAATTGTTACTTTTATTAACTTTTTTTAATTTGTACGTTCTTTTTTAAATCTCGACCGTGTAAGGTTCGTTTAAAGGCAAACAATTGAGATTGTCCTAACAGACAAGTGGACCAGAACCCCGGTAAGTTCGTTGAGGAGATGGAGGGAACTTACGCAAGATAACATCAATTATTACACTATACAGTTCCTTACCGGCAATGGATGCTTTGCTAACTGCCTCTACCGGTTAAGATTGGTCAAAAGTAATGCATGCATACATTGCCAGAAAGCTCCGCACACCCCGGAATACCTACTCGCGCGCTCGATGTTGAAGGAAAAGAAAATGCAAGCGGAGAGAGAATTAGGAGATAAAATATCTCCCTCAAACTTTTAGAAACTGATTACTACAGACCACAGCAACATCATCGCAAAACTCCAGATCAGAATATAATGACAAAGTGGTGGAAGAAAGAGTGGCAGAATCACATGGTCTAGTTATTTCACTATTCGTCTAAACAGAATGCATTTCTTAAGACTTAGTTTCAATTTTACAGTTGACAATTTTTTGAAGTTCTTCATAGTATGATAATATCGTCTAGATATACCAAACAGATTTTCCATTTTAATCCTTGTAATACAGTGTCCTTGAGTCTTTCGTATGTAGCCGGTGCATTGCACAATCCAAAAGGCTTCGCATTGAACTGTAATTAACCATTTCCAGTTATAAAGGCAATCTTCTTCTTATTCTGCGGATGCATATATATTTGCCAGAATCCACTTTTCAAATCGATAGTAACTCCTGATAATCTGTCCAATGTGTCGTCGATTCGGGATAATGGATGGCTGTTCTTCAGCGTTACGTCATTCAACTTCCTGTAGTCAACGCAAAATCTTGTGGAACCATCACTATAGGTGAAGCCCACGTACTTTGAAATGGTTCTATTACCCCTTGCTGATGCATGTCTTTTATAAAACCAATTATTTCCTATTGCTTCGTCCAAGGAACTCTTCTAGGTGGTTGTTTGATGGGCCTTGCTGTTCCAGTGTTAATGCGATGATATGTTAAATTATTTCTATCAAATTCTTGATGTGACAGAGCGAAGACGTGTTGATAACGACCAAGTAGTTCTTCCAATTGTTTGACTTAGTGCTTATAAGTTACTTGACCTTTTCACTACTTTTGTTAAAGTCGCAGGAAGTGATGTCAGTTTCGTCTCAGGTTCTTCTTCCCAGTCACAGTGGTGGATTTTAGCAACTGGTTCAAATACTGCCAACCCTGTGCCTTTGCACATCTTGTACTCGAAGTCTTTCAAATTGGTTATTCTAACAGGTATCGATGGTGTTCCACTTCTTACGAGCATACGTCTTACCATTAGTGGTTTTTGAGTCAAGATTTGATTGCCTGGTTCAATTACCCCCACGAATCCACCTTTGTCGTCGTTTATTCTGACTTTTAAAATGCTTTCGGAGTGACTCGGTAGTGCTCGATCTTCCTCTAAGTGAAGCCTCCCCGGTCTGTAGTCAAAATCAATCTTTTTCAATCCCACTCCTGACACCAGATATCACCTTCTTACCCTTCTACTACTTTCATTTAGCTATCTGTTACTTAATTGGGTCATTGTCAAATTTTGCGCAGGTAAACGAGTCCCTCAACATTATTTATTTTTTTGTTATTAATAATGTCAAAATCCTTAACGAATTATATATTAAATACAAAATACATCGCTATAGCGAACATCCATTATTGGAAT